CTCTCTCTCTCTCTCGCAGATTGTGATGTCAAACTCCTGGGTGCCTGGGTCACTCTTAAAACAAACAAAACAATAATTTGCTATCGCCCCGGACGTTGCTGTTTTTACTTGTTTAAAACAGCGTTGAAAACGTTGTAAGAAAGTGCATATAGTAAGCCACACTGTAGGTGGGATCTTTTTTTATTTTAGAAACAAAGGAAAGGAAAAACAAGTTTCTACTGTCTAACAATGGCAGCCATGTTGGTAACACAAAAAAGCATTCAAGGGAAAAGTTATTTTCTTACATTTCTTGCAACAGATGACTGATATTTGGTTTATGTGAGTTGAATATGAGACAAAATAGGAAGTTTGTCACTCTCTTTCTTGAGATTCAGTTTTGAAAAAAACAAAACAAAGCTATTGATTTTGATTGTAACACACACACACACACACAGATAAGGTATCTTTTGAATTTGACAGAACCTTTGTTTATCGTGTCGGTCACAACGTGCTGCAGCCGAACATTTGTACCTCATTTCTTAGCCAAGAATTTTAAAAAGCATGCGACATTTATCAGTTTGTTTTTATTGGCTGTTCCCATGTATAATGTTATTTTATGTGCATATTATATCTCTTTGTGAAGGACTATTTTTATTTTCTAAAGGAAATAACGGTAGGATCTGTAAAGATAGATTGGAGAAAGATTTAGTTTAGCTTTCCTGTTCTAAATACGGCGAGCTTGACTGTCTCCAGTTCAAAGGAAAAGTCCGTGTACATACACTGTTGGGCTGACATCACATCGTACATAACATGCCACCAACATGGCTGCTTGGTCCATGTCAAAGTGTCTGACCCACTGGCATCCAATTCATGTTTTTGTTTTGTTTGTGTTGTTTTTTTGTATTTCCTCTAGTGCATATTTTTGTCATATTGTAAAGCTTTTAATAAAAAAGGAAACACCAAGAAGTTTTCCAACTGTTTTCTTCCTCCTCTCTTTGCCCGTCTCTGTAGGTCTCATAACAACAAACTACAATCAGCAGCCTCTTAGCTCCCCCTCTAAAATCCAAGTGTCAAAAAAAAACAACCGAGGTTTCCTCTGTATGACTAAGCCCCGTGGTCCGAGTCGGGCTGCAAACCAACCTGAGCCCTCTCTGAAGGAGAGCACGCTCCCAGCTGAAAATCAGCTCGCTCTGGTGTCAAAGCGCCCAACCTCCAACACCTCCATTGCAGAGCTAAGGCAAGAGAGAGAGCGAGAGAGAGAGAAGCCCCTTTTCATCCAAAGTGTCATTGGGACGTCCCACCTTCAGACCGGGGGCAGGGCGGCCTCGGACTCTGTCTGGCATCCTGCTTGATTCCCACCAGAGCGTCCCATCCATGAGAAGTAAGATCCAGATGGGAAACGCAGATTAAGTTGATAAGTTGGCTGGTTGGATGTTAAACTGATCTCACTTCAGCAGCGGACTTTTAAAAGAGTTGTTATTTCTGTAGCTGATCACTATTTTTGTGTGTCCTATATTGCAAAGTGTGGAGCTTTGATCTTCCCACCCAGAGGTGCAACAACTTTCATTTCACCCTGTCACATTTTGACGACACAAACATCCCTTTAAAGCCGAGTCCCTGCCTCACATGCAGATGTTCGTGAGGTCAAAATGAAAATGCCCTTTGTATGCGTCACATGTGGCTAAAGGCAGGCATCACGTCCATGTACAGGACCTTGGAGTTCATTCTTCTCCTATTTACCGGCTGTAAACCTGAAAGCGTTTTATTGTTGCTGTAGGAACAAACGTCACTCTTTGTGCCCCACAAGAAAAACAAATAACCCCCATTGAAGCCAATCAGATTTCAGATCGTCCTTGTACAGCTACTCTCAGGCGCAGACGTTTCACACCTGACTCCACTGCATCCAGTTCTTCAGACGATGTTATGTAGCCCTGCACGAACCAGCCTCATAGAGCCAAACGTGGTGGCAAATTCCCATTCAGTGGCTCATTTCACTGTACATTTCCTGATGCCGAGATGCTCCATTTTTAATAGAAGCTAGATTTCTGAAGATAAAAAAAGGTGAAATAACTTCACCGCGTACGGGCGTAGACGGCACTCGCTGGAGTAATTCAAGGGGTCTGCAGGATATGTGGTCCGAGGGTCGTTATAATTTCCAGTGGGAAACACCAAGGACAGGCCATCCCATCCACCACATCCTGCCTCTCTTCTGACCTTTTTACCGTTTTGTGTTTTTCTGAAACGCAAGTGAAGAATGTTGACGAGCTCTGTGCTCCTTTAAGCTTGAGCTTTTAGGTCTACTGTCCTTCCCTCCATACTCACAAACACACACACGGTATCGTCAAAAGCTCCGATTCCGTCAGTGACCGAGTCTGTAAGTCTCAAACCCCTTATCTGTCGGCCACTTCTTCCAACATATTTCATAGAAGTTGACAGGTTGGCTCACATATGTCTCTCAACTCGCCCTCAAAGCAATGGTTAAGTAATTGGATGATGGACTTTTCCACTCAGCATCAGCTCAGTTATGTTGCGGTCTGCAGCAGCATGTCTGGGAGTTAAACTTTGAGTGGGGACCGGGGGAGTCTTTGTACCGTGGGGTTTGTATGAAAATTTTATAGCTGCATTTCTATCATATTTGGGAAACTTTTTTGTAATCTGTGATTATCAGTTTTGTAGGCGGGGAGCAGTCATTAGACACGGTTGTCTTTAAGTTGTTAAAAACAGTTAAAAATCAAACAAATGTTTTGGTTTCAATCAGTTTTTTTTTTTCTGTGTATTCGCAGAGTTGAGAGATAATGTCGCTGCTGTCTTCTTTACCGTGTTTGTGTCTTTCACACAAATGTCTGTTACTTTGTAATCTGATGACGATGCGTTTCATCCACTGTTTGTAATCTCTATTGTATACCATGGCTGTCCAAATATGTAGAGATGAAAGATTTTTAGAGCAGTAGAAACTTTTATTTTTCACTCTTTGAACCAGCAACGAAGCCCGTCTGTATATTTTAACTGTCTATTCTTTTCTCTTAAATTGAAGTGAACTCTACATTTTAGGTGAAATTGCCCTTTATATTAAAAGCGCTGCATATTGTGAGCATACAGGTATTGAATGGGGTAGAGTGACACAGTTAACTCTTGCAAAGAGTTTTTCTTTTTTGTAAGAAACCAACCAGTTCAACATAACTTCTATATTGACATTGCATTTCTTGTATTATTTATTCATATCAATGAAACGTTCTCAGTTTTTAAGTAATGTTGAGGAAACGTAACCGCAGATAAGAAATACTCTGTTTTTAACTGATTGTGGCAACTCTGAAGAGATTCTCTTTTTTGTACTTGATAGGACATTTCATCCTAGATAATAAAGTAATGTTTTTGACACCAGTTCTCCAAAGACTTGTGTTTTCTTTGAATACCTCTGCTCATCACAGACACACTGGAGAGTTTATCTTACCTCAACATATCAAAGTTTGTAAGAATCTTGAATTTGTTTCTGAACGTAATGTAGAGAAAGTGTAAAAGCTGGTCAAAAGCTGGTCAAAAGCTTAGCAACAGCAATTTGGACCACTTGTGAGTGATCACCGGGATGTTTTGCAAAGGCGGGTTAAGTTGCAATTGCTGAGACACGATGGAATGAATGCACGAGTCTGTTCCTGATCCATAGTGAAACCTTTACGCCTCAACATTTATCGTCGGAGGAAAGAAAATAAAGAGACCCTCTATTACCTTTGGGACAAGGTTGGGTGTGGCAGAAATAACATCAGTGTTGAAGAAAGGATCTGGCGTCTATTCTACAGAGTTTAGGTAGTTATGTAGACAACATTGTGTTCAAGTGAAATGTATAATTAAACATTGTCTGCATAGCAGTGATGGGAGATGCCTTTAAAATAACGTATTATAGGGCGTCCCTGTTTCTTTCTTTTTCTGTCAACTCTACTAGTGTCTTTAATTTGATTAAAAAAAAATAGCGAAAGTGCCCGAAAAATGAGTTATCTGCCCATTGAGAGGAGTTAGAATGTAGTTTTAAAGCCTGTTTGATAAATACATAGTTGCATACATAGGATATTTATGTTCATGTATGTAGTTTATACATAAGACAATGTTTACACTGTATTCTACAAAATACATTTGCTAAAATAAATGAATCGAACAACAACAAATTAATAACTACCAACAACGCACAGATAGTGGGAGAGACGGAGGGCCCACCGCTCATTTCCCCCCAGGGCTTCTTCGTGAAATAATCCGGCCCTACACGGAAACTTCAATCCCCTTCTTAACTCGGGTCAATTATCTGGACAAGCTCATGACCTCCAACACACTCAGACAAACTCTTCCTGTGATCAAATTACCAACATGACGCATAAAAGGTCGACCTTTCCCTCTCCTCTCACACACACACCTCCCTCTCGTACCCCCCCCCCCCCCCACTCAAACCGCTAAACGAATCCAGAGGCTCGTGTGGATGCTGCGAGCACCGCAGATGTGGTTTCAATCCACCGCCCTCGTCTCTTTCTCTCACTCCCCCCTTGTGGCTTGGGGGCTATCGCACAGGAAGCTGTGTGATATTCCCACCTCCCTCTCCTCTCCAACCCGCTTTCTCTCCCTCCTCCTCCTCCTTTACATCCTCTGCAATGTGGAATGTCCTCCCGCTGCGATAGTAGCCAAGATGTGGAGCAGGCTCCTGTTTCCTGCCCGCCTGCATCTGTTCCCTCCAGCACTGATCCCAGATAGAGGCTTCCTCCAGCCTGGGAACCGACCGGCCGAGCTGACAGGCGGACAGAGGGGGAGAAAAGAGGCTTAGCCCTGCCTGCCTCGACGTCCAAGTTCTCAAGTTGGTCTCTCATCCCGGAGGCCAGACAGAGACCGTGGTTGTTGAACTCTAATTAGAGTGACTTACTTTGGGGGCTCCTTCCCATGCAATCACTGGGAAAGATAATGAGGAACAATGTTTCGGTCAGTGGGCAGATGTATGTGATAGCATGAGTTGGTTTAAAGACAAATAAACTCACGGGGTCGTTGAGTACAAAACAAATACACGTTTTTATTGGGTTCATGTATGGGTAAGCAAGGTAAGCGTTCAGTGCAAGTTTTCCCTTTCATGAGCTCAGGGTCGAACGACGATCAAGCCAGAGATCTCTGATTAAATAAGAAGCTATCCCTTTAGAAAGACAGACCCAACATGCCCTCTCCTGCCTAAATCCCCTCCCTGTGTCATCTTACATAACCATATTTATGTCTCCTCCACCTTGCCCACGTCTCTCTCTTTCTCTCATCCTGCCTAAATACTTTAAATACCCCTTTCTGAGCTTTGGCCCTCCCAGAGGAGGACGTGTTTGTGTGTAAGCAAGAACACAAGAGCCATCCCAAAGAGGAGCTGTGACGGAGGCACTTCTCCAAGTCATGTGTCCAGGTGCGGAGAGGATCAGATTCCTGCGATTAGACTTATGGCTTAGTCCCTAGAACACCCCCCCCCCCCCCCTCCTCCTCATTCACCAGGGCCCCTTTTGATGTCCCAGTCTACTCGAGCAGATATTTTATCGTGGAAAACATAATTAAAGTTAGAAAAATAAGCCGTTCTCATAACAAGCAAAGGTCCAGTGTGCTGTCTCTCCCTCCTCATCCTCCACTGGGGTTTGTCGCTGCTTTTTCAGGCCCTTCATTCCCTCCCTTTGGTCCTTGAAACAACAATAGTGCATTTCCTGCTCACCAATAACAACCACAGTGACAACATGCACGGGGTCGAGAGTTACAAAACAAAAGTATTGGGTGCTATACAACATTTTTCATTCACATCAATTTAGAAGCATTATTTAATCAAAGGAATCAACAGGACTGAAATGTGGGATTTGTACAATGAGATCCAAGGTTCCTGCATAAAATGTACGATGCAACTGACAATATGTGTTTGTATGGAAAACAAGTTTCTCTTCAGTGTCCTGTTGAAGTGTTGTTTTCTCAAACTCAATTGTTAAATATGGGAGCATGCTTTAAGATGCTACTGCCCCAGCAAGAAAAACAACAATAAACCAATGATCTTATCTGTATGCATGTGTTCAAATGTGTGCTTGGATTGAATACAGAGGCTGGATCTGACTCAGCGGAAAATAAACATTGGCTTGCTACGCGCACATGGATAAAACAGAAACACACCCATGCGACTGCTGATGCAATATGACAAAATAATACCCATTCTATAAACTCATTTTCTGGCTTCATGTTCTTCAGATGAGCCAAATTCCCTTTAAAAGTGAGACAATTTTATACCTTTTCATTGTAGGGACTTCATGAACCAGCCATGAATGAATGTGGAGCTGCTATTTTGAGGAAATGATGACACCCTTGTGTGATGCCCCTAACGTTACAAAATGATGGTGCGAAATCCATTTAATTGAAGCTGCTCGTGTTTTATATCAAAGAGACCACAAGTCCGTGCTTCAGGAACTTTACAGAGGAGTAAAAAAAAAAATGAACACGGGTTTGGATACGTCATAGCAGTCCATGTGAAAATAAATCCATGCCTTCTGCAAAATGTCTTCCGTCTTGCACAATACTGATTGGTTGGTTATGATCGCTTCAGGTGAGCTGCAATGTCTCTTCCCCTGCAGCAGGGGGCGACAGTCTTATCTTTGGTTCACCTACACCTGGAGCGGGTGGCCTCCAGGGCCTTCTGGTGCCTCCGCTTGTTGAACCTCTTGACGTAGTTGTTGCTTCGCAGGAGGCCGTCCCCGGGCTTCAGTTTGCCCCCGAGTAGGTTCAGGAGGTCACTGGGAAAGTGGCGCCTCCGGTGGTAGATCTGGCCCATCATGATGTATCTGGTCCCTTGGGAACGAATGGGGTGAATGTTGAAATGAGTGGGAGGACGTACACACTGGAGCATTGTTAATGTTTGCACTAAACAAAGTGGATGTCACTGCTTCTGCTGATCTCAGGAAAATAGAGTTCCCACATCCCATACAAGAACATGTTGATGGAAACTTCTTAATTCATGGGTCATGACACTTCTGCATTTCTGATCTTAAGTCTTTTATTCTTCAATAAACCTCTAAATGAATAACAACGTAATGTAGTTAAGGGATACACTGTCACAGTTTATAGAGTTTAATTTTTCCTTTTTACTAAGCAAAACAGATTTGTTTTATGAGGCTTCTGAGCGACCGTGCTCCACTCACCGAGCTTGATGTCAGGGCAGGGCTTGCTGCACTTGTAGGTGTCCAGGACCAGAAGGCGAACTTTCAAGAAAAAGCTGTCTGGGGTCACATAGAGACGACTCATCTTGTAGAAGCCGTCACTGCTCACCATCAGTGTAATGAGGCGTATTCCTTTACGCAACACATCGATGTCGTGAACGATCCCGTTGACGGCTGTTAAAGGGACATGACAAAACACCAAATATAACAACATCACACATACGTTCAGTCTTCATGCTAAGCTAAGCTAACCGGCTGCTGGTTGTAGCTTCATACTTATTGTATAGGCCTTTACATGAGGGTGTTATCAATCTTCCTAATTCAGAAATGTTGAAATAATTCTTTAAACTGTTACTTATAGTCTCAAAATGAATGTTTAGCTGCCACAGCTGTTGGCTACATACAGTAGTTTATTATCAAAACTCTCATTTTAAGCAGTCGATAGTGATGAGTTAGTTAATAATATCTACCTCCATAAGGCCAGGGATGTATTCAAAATGATCAGGCATGTTAATTATTTGACCTTTGTGGACCTTCTTACGCTATTTTACTTAAGTTTGTGACAAAAGCACTATCTTGGTCTCAGGCTGGATACGTACCAAACTCACTGTAGCAGTAATACTCTCTCTCCTCCTTCTCCTTCCTGCACTCGCTCATGCAGAAGGCATCATGCGTGAAGTCGGACTCTGCGGAGAAGAAGACAAGCAGACGACAGGATGGAGGGATGAGAAAAAGAGGGGCAGTCTGCTGCCACAACCTCATTCCAGCGGCATCAGAAAAGAACAAGGGTGTCATTACAAAACCCAGGCGTCGCATTCCTCCACATGGGACTGGAGGAGGCCGTGTGTGTGTGTGTGTGTGTGTGTGTGTGTGTGTGTGTGTGTGTGTGTGAGTGTGTGTGTGTGAGTGTGTGTGTGTGAGTGTGAGTGTGAGTGTGTGTGTGTGTGTGTGTGTGTGTGTGTGTGTGTGTGAGTGAGAGACACATTTTCTCTCTTAATCACAATATCAGGACCTCATTGGCTTTGCTTTAGTTTTGTTACCACCTTATTGCACACAAAGGGAAACACTGACAGCCAGATTTAAGGGGAAGTGGTTGTAATTAGTGGCGGAGGATGTTCACTCACTAACAGCGGACGGGTTCAAACCATCACTGTCTTTATCACTGTCTGAGTGAACTCTATGAACTCTAGCGTACATTATATCACTGCATGACTGACTCATTCCCACAAAGGTAAAAACTAACGTGTCTTATTTTAGGCGGTTCATGAGGTGGTATTTTGTAGCCTTCTATTAGACAGGAGGCCGTGGAGAGTGACGGGAAATGTGGGAACAGAGATGAGGGACGACGTGCAACCAAGATCCTCGGTCAGACTTAACTCAGGGGGCATTGCAAACACATGGACAATATGTCAAACCTATAGGCCACCAGGATGCACCAACAAATTTGGCTTTTGAGCACTTGTTTCCTTTTTGTTCAAAGACATTTTGTTAAATTTGTAGTTTTGTCAAGACTTGCCCTTTTTGTGGTCAAATGTTAAGATAGGCCTCTTTTAACTTTGCAGGAGATACATTTTACATTAGAAAAGGTTAAAGGGAACATATCGTGCTAATTTTCAGGTTCATACTTGTATTTTGGGTTTCCACTGGAACATGTTTACATGCTTTAATGGTCAAAAAACACATCATTTTTCTCACACTGTCTGTCTGAATATTCCTGTGTTCACCTGCACCTGAAACGCTCCGTTTTAGTGCCCGTCTCTTTAACGCCCCCCTCAGAAAAAGACCAATCTGCTCCCTAGCGTTCAAGCGGTGGGCGGAGATACTCAGGTGGGGGACGATATATTCAAATAAGCCTGCATGTGACATTTTAGCCAAATGTGAACAGCTTGTTGAATCACATGTTTTCTGATCTGACCCCTTGGAAAACTGTGTTGTCTTATTATGTGGTTTCATTCAGTGACTAATACAACAGTTTTGTGTTTGGTTTAAGTTATTTGTCACTGTGAGGGGTAATTTAATATTACTGGTAATAAATACAGGGATATTGAGCATAAATAATATTTTCCCAGATGGTTAAACTCTTACATAATTTCAATCTTTGGAAATAATCTCAAAGGTGGAGTTTAAAAAATGAATAAAGCTCAAGCTCAATAAAGTAACAATCAAAGATGCTGCTGTATATGTGGATGCACAGGTCAGGACACAACAAATCTTCCCGTACCTCGTCTCAGGATGTCAAACTGGTAAAGCAGGCTGGAGGAGCGCCGGTTGAAGACGACTGGCGGGCGGCTGTTGTTCCGGGTCGCTGCGCCGATACCAGACTGATAGAGACTGGACTTTCCTGGCCGGTTCTCCTCTTGGTCCAGTCGTCGGTTGGGGGGATCTCTGCGCGGTGAAGGGGCCGGGTGGTGCGGCTGAGTCTGAGGCTGTGTGAGGGGTGGACCCCTGGATCTGGAGTTGGGGTGTCCATCTGGTTCCCCCTGCTGAGGAGGACTGATGTTGGACTGGGTCTCCTGATGGGTTTTCTGCACAGTGCGGTTGGTGACGGCGGCTGTGGCTCCACTCAGCGGGGTTTTGGGGAGCAGTCCAGCAACTTCTCCTCGGGCTTTCTCGCTGTTGTGCTCCACCAGACGGTCGCTCTTGGGGGCCTTTTTGCTCTTGTTGTGGGGGCCATGGTGGCGATGGATGGGGACCAGGTCACTGTGCTTCGGCCAGACGGCAGAGGGTAGAGGATGCAGGGTGAACTTGGACTCGCCGGTCTTGCTGCTCTTCTCTAGAAGCTCATTGATGGGCAGGGAGGGCTCTTTGACCACCACCCAGCTCTGGTTGTTTGGAGCCGGATCACCAAAGCTGGTTTGACCCTTTTCTATCAGAGTGTACAGCTCTGGGTTGACACAAACGAAAGGTTGCACTTCAGTTAGACATTTCCTTCTATTCGACTTGGTGCGTTAATGTGATATCAAAGCCCCGTTGCTTCTCCAGTAAAATACAACAATGGTTTTATTTCATTTACATGACGTTCCTTAAAAACATAATATTTAGGGTTTTATTCAGCTTAATAAAGTATTAGTTAGTGTAAGTACTTTAACTGGAGGTTTATCAGGAACTTTGATCATGGGAACTTACTCGAGAGTATGACACTTACTGAATCTACAGCTCAGATAGATTTTATAATGAACCCCAATCCATCAAAGTTATCAAATGCTGCCAACTATTATTCACTTAGCATTTTATCAAAATCACACACTTGTTCTGGGATGTAATATTTCCTCAGAATCGTTCACCTTGTTTAGTTTTAATTAGATTTTATATATTTTTTGACGAACACCAGAATAATGCTGATGTAAGGGATATTGTATTGGTGAGATCCAAAGCTACAAATTGCCTCAGAATTGAACAGTAAATACCAAAATACATAAATCACAACAGAGCATGTTGCTGTGAAATTATATTTGTTCAATAAATAGACCTCATTAAAAGAAGACAACAAGTGAGCGCATAGAAGAAAAAAATAAACGTTTTTCTTCAACACGTAAAAATGTACAGAACTACAAATAAAAAAAAAGAGTACACTCACCATTGACAGCATGCTCCTCTGTCTTGTCAAGAGGAAACCCTAGAAAGAAGAGAAACAGAATAATCCCGGTCATCCTCGATGATCAGTGTGGACACACTCAAAAGTCTGCTACAGAGACGGGATTCCTGGGATTTTTATACGAGCGGCTCAGGAATGACATGCGATGGGACGGAGAGGGAGACGGTGGGACGTCCTTAAAACAGAAGTAAACACTTTGACATCACACTCCTTTCATTCATAAATGGATTCTATGCTGCCAAAGCTTTTTACAATATGGGAGGGGAAATACGGTTCTGTGTAGCCTAAGTATTATCTTTTGTTTACCAAGTAAGAGTTATGTAAAGTGTGATTTTCTCTTCTCTTATGTCTAATCATCAAAATCTTCTGTACTGGTGGTTTTCTTGCTTTGCTTTTTTTAGACAACTTGCTGGACAGCGTTACATACACTCAACTTCAGGATAAGTGATACTAGCAACTTCTCTAGTAACTTTAGCGCACCTTGATGCGAGGCGGAGGTGACGGTATAGTCTGCCAGTGTATTACATTTAAAGGTGGCTTCACTGCCCTCTAACGGCCACAACGAGGAACTGCAACACATCGTTAAATTAGATCGCTTCAAGAAAATTAGCATATTCTTAAATTAATCCGATAATATCCCAAATTCACACGAAATGAGAGTCTAGTGGTCACAGTTTTTTATTCTTCATTGTATGAATAAGAACGTATGTATTTGAACACTCGTAAAAAAGTATGAATAAATATTACTGCATGTTGTATAAACAGTATTCAACAGTGTAAAATTGTGAAGATATATAGAAGAAAGATAATGAAGAAAAAAACTGAAAAGTAAACACCACTACAGACAGGCTGACTGAGATGACGGTTGACCTGAATGTGTTTATTTTAGGATTTCGTCACTTTGATCATTTTAGTTTGAAATGATTTACCGGAAGTGGGAATGCTTGCTGTCAGTTCTGCTTGAACGCTGGTTGGACGAATTTAACGGTTTGCTGCAGTTCCTCGCTGTGACCACCGGGGAGCAGTGTAGACCAATTATTCTAAAACACTGCTAAATGCTCTCAGGTCACGTGTCACCTCAACCCGTGAAGGGTCATATGACAGACGTGGTAGCTGAGCTGGCTAATGCTAGAGTGTTTATGGTGAGTTTTGGCAGTGATGACGCTTACAGTGTAAAGACTGCTAGCCGAGCTTCATGCTGGTGAGGATTATTCAAATGTTATTGTATTTAATCACGAGTCTTTACTGCCCTCTTGTGGTCACAGTGAGGGACTGTAGCACATCATTGAATTCGTCAAACCAGAATAAATGCAGAAATCATGTTATATTCTCACTTCCGGTAACTACAGAACTTCCCATTTTCAGCAAACCATCATGAGGCACAGCAGATTCCTCTCATTCATTTCTGCTGCTCTGCTCTTCACTTTTACAGAAAGGCTTGAGTGAGGATATGCTGAGACCATCATGTTGTTTATTCATTCAGTATGGCAGTTTGTGTGCTTTTGTGTGTTGCCCTCACATCTCATGTGATGAAGGTGCTCAATTCACTGGACCCTCTGCAATTTGCATACCAGCCTCATGTAGGAGTGGACGACGCCATCATCTACCTGCTGCAACGAGCTCAGTCGCACCTGGACGGATCCGGTGGCTCTGTGAGAATCACTTTCTTTGATTTCTCCAGTGCATTCAACACCATCCAACCAGTGCTGCTGAGTGAGAAGCTGCGGGTGGTAGACACGTCCACCGTCTCCTGGATCACTGACTACCTCACTGACCACAGTTTGTCCGACTGGGCCGTGTGCTGTCTGATACGGTGGTCAGTGATACTGGAGCCCCACAGGGAACTGTCCTGTCTCCCTTCCTGTTCACGTTGTACACCACTGACTTCCAGTACAACTCGGGGTCATGCCATCTGCAGAAGTTCTCTGACGACTCTGCAGTGGTCGGGTGGTCCAAGACCAGAGTGATGGTGGTCGACTTCAGGAGGAAGACGACGCCTCCACAACCGCTGAGAGTTGTGGGAGAGGATGTGGACATGGTGGAGGAGTACAAGTTCCTGGGTGTCTCATCGACAGCAGACTGAACTGGAATCAACGCTGTGTACAAGAAGAGGATGAGTCGACTCTATTTCTTGAGGAAACTTCGATCCTTCAACGTGTGCAGCAAGATGTTGGAGATGTTCTACCAGTCTGTTGTGGCCAGTTCACTGTACTTCTCCGTAGTCTGCTGGAGGGGGAGCATTGGAGCCGGAGACAACAACAGACTTAACAAACTGGTTAAGAAGGCCGGCTCCATCATTGGCTGCAAAATGGACACTCTGGAAACGGTGGTGGAGAGGAGGACACTGAAGAAACTATTATCCATATTGGATAACCCGGAACACCCTCTCCACCACCTACTGCAGGGACAGCGGAGCGCTTTCTCCAACAGACTCATCCAGCTCCACTGTCACAATGACAGATACAGGAGAACATTCCAGCCCACTGCAATGAGACTGTACAATAAATCACCTCTGGCCGAATCATCATTCACTTGACTACAACATCGCTACACTGTCTTTGCACTACTGTTTAGTTTATCTAGTTAGTTAAATGAATACTATTCTATTTTATTGTACATACTGTGCATCTTTTATACTTAATATTTTTACTTTTTTTACTCTGTCACTCTGATTGCTTGCATATTTTTTTCTGCTGTAGTGAACAAATTTCCCCTTGCAGGATGAATCAAGTATGTATCTATCATTTGCGTTTTTTTTAAATTACATTTCTTGTATTACAGAAAATACAATTTAACTTTATTGCAGAATATGGAGCTGTAGATTGGCTATCTTTACTGAGATTGTTCAGTATGGACCAATTTAGGATTTCAGTAATTACCAAGACAATGCTAATATCATCACCACTGTGTTGCGACATATACATAAGCACTGAAAAGGAGGTAAATACGACCCAGATGGGACTCGAACCCACAATCCCCAGCTCCGGAGGCTGATGCCTTATCCATTAGGCCACTGGGTCAATACGTGGCTGAATTGGGAAAACAACCATTATATAAAGGACGTGTCGTCTCGTAATTAGTGGGTAAAACATGTATATTCGTATTCGCATTTAAAATTGAATGACACGTTGTTATTTAGGGTAAATGTTACCCACGATACAATACGTATTTGAGACATGGCTGCAATGGTCTACAATGAAATCCAACCAACACACGAAGATGTGGTGGTTTTATCTCGCGATACCAATGTTCGCGGTTGCCTTTGACAACGTTTTTGTTGGTTGAAGCGTGAGGCGGTGCTTGTACCCGACTGACCAATCAAAACTCAGGAAAACAGGGTGGTATATAAATGACGTCATGTCGGTAATAAAAAAAAGATACGAGAAACCTAAGGTAAGTACGTCGCACACGCTGTTGGCCACATGTAAGTTATAGTTGCATTAAGAGTTTAGGTTATTACTCATAATTTGAGTGTATTTTCGTTACTCTCCTGAATATCTGCCACATGGTGTTATATAACCGGCTTGGCCTCAAGACAAGCGGCCGGTTAACTGCTAGCGTTAGCTAATTCACCGGCTAGCTAGCTAACACAGAAGGTAGTGAAAGCAGCCGTTGGTACGACCGTTGCTTTCTTTTAAATGATTATCTTTAAACAGGGAGCGTCTTCAACAATTCAACTGGAATCGATTGTCTTCATCAACATTCAGTAATGTCAGCCGGCAACGACAACGGAGATCGTCTCACCCAGTTCAAAAACAAAGGGAAAGATGTCAACGTAAGTTCTGCAAGTAATGGCATAACATAACAGTATAACATTAATCATGTACGTCAGCGATAGCTAATCGTCATAAATGGCGTCTTGTGATTGTATGGGGTTTGACTTCTTCAGGAGCTCAGACGAAGAAGAGCTGAAGTCAATGTGGAGCTACGAAAAGCAAAGAAGGATGATCAGATCCTGAAGAGGAGAAACGTCCAGAGCCTCCTGGATGAGCCGACCTCTCCTTTCCATGAGAACGACCCCAACGCACAGGTAGACGGACAGCAGGTAGACAGCAGCTCGTCTGTGTCAGCTGCCCCTTTCATACACTAGTTACTGGGTTTGGCTAGGAAGAGTAAACAGGATGCACCAGAAATAAATACAACTGGTTTCCATGTGTTTTCCATGTCTTACATCTGATTGAATAATTTAGTTGCCCACGAGTGAGTTACAACAGCCTCCATACCTAACGACACCCTAGAATAAGTCTAGTCAATTTGAATCTTAAAGGCTGATCAAAGTAGGTCCGCTCTGTTTGTGGCCAACGGTCAATGAGAAAGCTGGTGTCAAATGTCTACCTAATGATAACAGTGTGAAGCTTTTCCCTCATTTAGCACCAACTAGTCTCAACAACCGGGCAAGTATTAGGTCAACATGTTTTCTTTTTTCTTTGTTTACGATTGAACTGCATTGTCCTGATCCTGTAACCCTGACCTAAACATGTCCCAGTGCATGTTGGGGGTTACTTATAACCCGGTTGTACTGTTCAGATAGATAACCTGCTTCTTTCCCTGTTTCCCCAGCCTCCTCAGTACTGGTCTTTGGAGGAGATTGTAGGAGGAGTAAACAGCGAGAGTCTAGAAGATCAGCTGCAGGCCACGCAGGTAGCCAGGTAAAATAATTTTAAAGGATCTCGACCGACCAGTTTTGACATGCTAAAGACAAGGGCTACAGTTGCATTTCATGCAATCCTTTATTGTATGATAATAACAAATCCTTGAAGATGACCAGTGACTCGATGGCTGGAGGCATTATGTTTTTGGGTTCAAGCATATTATTTTGTGGATGTGCTTGTTGTTATTGAGTTGAAAATCAGTTTGTTCCCAAACTTGTTAAACATGATCACCCCGCCCTAGTCATTACTCTGACATACAAACAATGCTAAAACTTTCCCTTTGATAACTCCCCACCTTTTTTTTTTTTTTTGGTCCTGGCGTACAGGAGAGTCCTCTCCAGAGAAAAGGATCCACCTATTGACAGCTTCATTGCTGCCAGCCTCATCCCGAGGTTTGTTCGTTTTCTGGCTCTATCTGAATGCCCCCCCATCCAATTTGAGGCAGCTTGGGCCCTGACCAACATCGCCTCAGGTACCACAGACCAGACTACTGCCGTAGTGGACGGTGGGGCCATCCCGGCCTTCATCAGTCTGGTGGCATCCCCCCACCCCCACATCAGCGAGCAGGCCATTTGGGCCCTGGGTAACATCGCAGGTAGGCTGACGACATTATGGATCTCTTTGGGTTTGAGTCACTTGTTTTACTTCTGATGCTCCGTTACGTTATGCTGTTCAGTTTATGTGCCTAGATGGATGTGATGTGAGGAACTGTTGTTGTTGTTGTGTGTAACTATGCTTCTTTTGTTTTGTCTGGAGGTGTTGTTGGTCTCCACAGGCTTTAATATTGAGGGGTTTTCAATTCATGTAAAAGGGTGTGTGCTAAAATCTTAAATGTTTTGTTTTGACAAAGTGAGTTCAATGTCCAAAGGTGATTCACGCAGGATAGGAAGGAACCACTGGTCTACCAGAGTAGCAGCATTGGTTGTTTTCTGAGTCAGTAACTGTATTAAAACATTTGATGAAAAACAGTCCTTGCATATTCTGGTAGTTGTAGAACCTCTGAAATGCTCAACTTCCTATTGTAGTAACCCGACTGTATTCCCCCCACCTCATATCTAGGTGATGGATCCAACTACAGAGACCTAGTGTTAAAACACGGTGTTCTCCATCCACTCCTCGCCTTGATGGCATCCCCTAACCTGTCTGTGTTTCCCGTGAGTTTCAATCAAAATTATTGCACTGCTGCTTTTAAGAGACGTTTTCTTTTTACATGGCACTGTGGCCCTGCAGAGTCCTTCTATGTTCTGTTCAGGTATGCACATCCACACCGTTTAGGACCAGTGGACACGGACTGCTGTTCACACTGGTTTTAAAAAGGTGTCACAAGTAGCCACTTTACAAGCTCATTTCAAACCGATAAAAAGCTAAATCATTGTCAGATGACAGCCAATGGGTTCTGAGGTTTTCTCTCCACATGGCCTCTTTATCTGTAGTCAAAAGCCTGCTCAAACACCATTTATCAACAGTGCTCAGACTACAAACGGAAAACAGGTTCTAGATATGAAAACAGAATCAAAGTCGCTGACTGGTTTCATGGATTGATAAGTATCTGGACACCCTGATGTGATATTGTTTGGAGAGGGCTTATGACAAAGTTTTATTGTTTGGAGCAGTGCGATATGGCAAAAATGATCATCTGGATATTGGTCATTTCATTTCTAGATAACGATATATATCACGAAATGGCATGTTTTCTGGTATTCATTAAAAGAAAATAGTCGATATGAAATTACCACATTTTCCTTTACTCCTGTGTGAATGAAATATTTGACAAATAAAAAGTACTGATTGTTTTCTCATTTCATCAAGAACTTTAGTCCAAAATGAACATGACGGTTTCAAGTAAAATTACTGAGAAAATGCATTTAAATATTTACAGCTATAGATTTTCCGAGTATCTGTGACTCTTAACAACTATCATTTTCTGACACTTTGACGTTGTGAAATGACTCTTGGTTTTTAATCCACATTCCTAGCCGGGCTACCTGCGCAATGTAACCTGGACACTGTCCAACCTGTGTCGCAACAAGAACCCGGCCCCTCCCTTGATGGCAGTGCAACAGCTGCTCCCAGCCCTGGTGCGCCTCCTGCACCTCGACGACAGGGAGATTCTGGCCGACACCTGTTGGGCCGTGTCCTACCTCACCGACGGCTCCAATGAGAGGATAGAGGTGGTGGTGCAGGCCGGCCTGGTGCCCCGCCTGGTCCAGCTGCTATCCTTGGGGGAGCTCTCCATTGTGGTATGTGTGTCAGCAGAAATGACTGTCCATCGAAAGTAGCTGCTCTGTTGAGTCTCATTCTGATTTCATGACAGTGTTTGATGAACGCTAAACATATTTGCCTGCTCTAGTGGATCTAATGGTGCTCGTTATATAGTCACAAATACCGTCGCTCTTCAAGACGTTTGTCACAGCCCACACTGACGTCCTTTTTCGCGTACATCCTCCTGTGTATTTTTCCTATACCCTTAAAGTTGAAGAAAACAACTTTCTGTCTGGGTCATATTTTCTCGGAACTTGCGTTTTCATTACTTCTCTTACACATGTTCACTCCTGTGGTGTTTTGGCTGAGTTTAGGACAGATTACTGTTACAGAAGCTGAAGTCTTTGGTGCAGATGTGCGATGTGGACCATTGTAACTGAAAATCAAGCTTAGTCTGCTCTTGCATGCATTGTTAGCGGCTTCAGACATATGGTGCTGAATTGGGACATTAACACTCACAGGATTTAGGTATCATCACATTCCTTGTCATCACCGTCATTCCTCCTATATTTATTATTCCTAAATCGTGAACACTACAGATAACTGACTTGCTCTCCTTCACCTCCCAGCCTCCTGTCCTGCGGTCACTTGGCAACATTGTGACCGGGACAGACGAGCAGACACAGTGTGTACTGGATGCAGGCGCTCTGGCGATGTTCCCCAGCCTGCTGTGTCACCCGAAGCCCAACATCCAGAAGGAAGCAGCTTGGACAGTGTCCAATATCACTGCTGGCAAAGACACCCAGATCCAGGAGGTTGTCAATGCTGGTCTGGTACCCATGCTGGTGGAGATCCTCCAAAAGGTCGGAACACAAGAGCAGACAGAACGTATAGCGGGCTCGTTACAATAGTCCAAATGAGATTCATTAATTCATAATAAATCAAGTTCTATTTTGATTGATGTGGGGGGGGGTTTCTGCATTTTACCCATCCTAATTACCGTCCTTGAACATGAGTGTACATGTATTCTGTAATTTGATATTTGATATTACCTGAGCAGCACAGTCACAGTTTCCCCAACACTTCTTTCCAACCTGCTGCAGATTATTCATGGTTTTCTTATTCTATAAACTCATTTTGTGAAGCAACCAATCTATAATATTTTCCCGTTTATTCATGAAGGGTCATTAAGAATATCTTCAGTGTTTCTACTAGTTTAACATCAGATGTCTTCTCTGTTTAGGGAGACTACAAGACTCAGAAGGAGGCCGTGTGGGCTGTCACCAATTACATCAGCGGTGGAACGATGGAGCAAGTGTCCTTCCTGGTCCGGTGCAATGTGCTGGAGCCTCTGCTCAACCTGCTGACAGCCAAAGACGGCAAAATCATCGTGGTCATCCTGGGTGCAATCTACAATATGTTACAGGTATGTTGTCAGGAACTTTGGAGTCGCTGACTGCAAGACTGTCTGTGTAGTTCAGTCAAAATGCTGCGTGTCGAGTGGATTTTACCACTAACATGTCTGACATTGCAAGAGACCTCTGAGACTTACTGTACAGCCTCTCCATTCATCTTGGTGTTTATGAAAGTCTACATGTACTCGATGTATACTTAAGTTATCAGTGATGTATCGCATTATGGACAGTATCTGCAGTTATTTTTGTCAACGTTATAAGATCATTGTCTAACAATTCAGTCGTAAGGCACTAAACTACAGTAAACTAATTCAAAGCATATTTTAGAAAACTAATGTCGAAGCTCACCAAATCACTACAATAAAAATAATCTATGTCTGATATGATGAGATGTAAAAGAAGACACATTTCAGATCCAATTTATTCAGTCGTTTGTTCTTCATGTAAGCCAAGAGATGAGAAACTTGATGATGATGTCGAAAGATTGTGTGTGTGCATTGAGGTTTTGGCAAGTGAAGGAAAATGCACTAAAATTCAAACGAGCAAAGAGTAATTGAGAGTAGATGGTAGACTACTGCCTAGAACTGCAAGAAAGAAAATAATTCAAGAGAAGTATGCTTTTAAAAGTGCTCTTACATATTCTTCTGCCAGCAGACATATCTCTTAGGTCCAGAGGAAATGGAGATTAAAACTGTGGCTCTCTGAGATTAAGAAACAGGAAGATTAGCAGAATTTAATCTCAGTCACATTATCGTCTGAATAATGCAGATGGATTCTTGACAGTCGCAGATTAACGATCACAGGTTCATCTCTCGGCGAGGGAACTATTAGTCTTACCGTTTTTTTAATTTATTTTACTTTCTCCACAGATGGCACAAAAAACTGGTGAGATTGAAAAACTCTGCCTAATGATTGAGGAGTTGGGCGGTTTGGACAAGATTGAGGCACTTCAGTCCCATAACAACGAAGCTGTCTACAAGTCCTCTCTTAAAATCATAGACCAGTTCTTCTCTGAAGAGGTAAGTAACAGACTAGCTAAGCAGAAATCGTCACAGAATTTTGTTTCTACTTGAGTTTCTACTGGATTTTCTTCTCTATCTGTTATGCTCTGCTTTAGTTTGTTTTTTGCAAAATGCGTATGTGCTGAATTTGCCAAGACTTTGTCGAATATCGGAGGAATATCGCTCAGTGCGATTGGATAGTTTGCTACAACTGGGATGCTAACCACTCCCTTCAACACAAACATGGAAAGAATTTAGACCGGCAGAGGAAGTGTGACTACATTGTAAATGATAAGATCGCCTGCCGAGGCAATATTCGCAAATGCGAAGATGTGAATTTGCTTCACCACTGGAAGACAAGGTTGTTGTTTTTTGGCCCTGCTGTTCGCATAGATCAAAAGTGAACAGGAGGCGGATGTTGATTTCGTTCATGTGTGACCATGCATGCATGCTTCACAGATTAAATGACAACAGTCATGGCAAATCTGGAAGGGGGGCAGTTGTTGCTTGTGTGGTCACTCCTCGCTACTTACTGTTGCCAAAGAATAAACGTGGCGTGTGATGCAACAATAAAGTAGCCTGAGCTAGATGTTTGCTGGTTACTGCAAGTTTCTGATTCTTCGATATAATGCTCATTTTAATGTTTATTGGGTGTTTTTTTTGCTTTTTCTGGTAAAATCACTGACCAGAGGCTTCTGTTGCTTACATGAGCTGCTTACATGAGCTGACTTTAATACTACTCACAATAGACCCTTTCTTGGCTGGTCCACAGAATCTATTTTAATCCATCAAATGATTGTTAAAACATGCTAAGACTTGGTAAATGATGTAATGCTTCGCTCCTCCTGTCCCTCCTGTGTTTCAGAATGAAGATGATGAGTCTGTGGTTCCTGTAGCTGCTGAATCAGGCTATACCTTCCAGATCCCCGAGGACCAAAGCACTTTCCAGTTTTAACATTCCCAGTTGTCTCTTTGTACCTTGTTGATATTTTTTGTAAATTGTTTTTAGACATTTCATCCTTGTATGTGACAGTACAAAGACTAAATCACCCTGTTTCAAAGAAATATTTGTAAATAGATGTTACTCATGCACAAGTTACTTTTCTTTATGGATGTTTCAGAAATAAACAGCCTATGCACAGGGTCATGCGCCTCATGTATTTGCTTAAAAGATGTGAAGGAAGTGAGGTGTTGAGAAATGGCGAATTGGAGTTGATTCTGCGTCCATGTCACCACTAGGTGGCACTGTGGTTATTTGTTATACTTGTGAGCCTACATGTTGTAAGTGCCCTGATGTGTTTATAGTACATTGTACACTATTTTATGAATGAAATCTATGTTTTAGTGCGTTCGAAAGCATTACACGATATGGCCATAATGGTTCATCTATAGGCAAGGAGCAGAACCAGACTCTGCGACTTAATGTCAAAGTAACTTTCCTCCCTGTAGACCCGCATCTACCTTCAGGAAAGATCGCATTATGCTTTATGTTTGTGTCAAACCCTAAGTGTAAACTGTCCTTATATTTTATTTACCTTTGTGACTTGATTCTTTTGTACTGTGGTGGCAATGTCATGCATATCATGACATAACATTTACTTGGTAAGATATGTACAATAGACCAAATTCTGTCTGTCATAGTTCTCTTTTACAATAGATAAATGAGTCACCTATAAGAGTAACTGATTCAACTACTACTGAGTAGCATTAATCTAGAGTGGATAGTCTATTGATATATTTAGAGAACGGTATACATTGAAACCACTCAACTAGATGCATATTTTAACTATTCGCAGGAACTGTCTAGCACGTTCAGGTCTACATACACCATGTCAAACTTTCCAGATTAAGGCCGGATAAAGACTATGTTGAGTTCAAAGTAAAATAACTTGATTGTAAAATCATTTGTAACCAGGTAACAAATACGCAAATGGTGGTCGTACTATGTTAATGGCTGTTGTACTATGGTGTTCATGATTCATAATTCACATCTATCGTCGTTAGTACTAAGAAAATATTGTACATAAGTTTGAGCGTGCTTTTATTTTGAAAGGTTGCACCGGATGTGCTCCCTTTGTCTTCCTTATTGTGCAGTAGCTCAGTCTTCACCATCATCACGACTAACTTCAGTCTGAGCAGACGTCTGTCTGGATGGAGGGCAACCCGTCCAGTTGATTCGTACCTTTGGCTTGCGGCGTGAACAGCATTAGTGGACGTATTTAGGATTAGTTATTTGCCATTTTTCTTAATGAAAAAGAGGCTCATGTAAGAATGACATTCCAGCGACGATGATACCATTATCTTGCATACACGGTCAGTGTGAATTGTTATGGTGATACTACAAGCTACCCCGTGCTAGCAGAGGGACTGTTTTGGGAGATACCTTTTCAAAACCCACACGCTGACACATGAACTAGACGCTTTTTGTGAATTTTCATCAAGCTGGAACACTAAGGGGAATGTCTAGCCAAGGAGTTAGGAGGAATGGCCCAGTGAAGCTGCGGTTGACAGGTAAGCAAACGTAAACCCCCTCCTCGCGAGATGTTAGCACGTTAGCATGCTAGCCAACCAGGCTAACATCTGCTGATGGTACCACTGTACATGTGTCTCCTGTGATATAAAAACGACCATCTCGTATTATATCTCTATGTTTATCTTTTTAATCGCATCTAAATATTTTTTATTTTTTATTTATTTATTTATTTATTTTTTTAACCAGAATGTAACTTTCGTTTACCTACTAAGCAGCCTTGACAGTCAATGAGCTCGTTAGCAAACATTAGCTGTGACAACAACGCTCATTATGTTGCATTAACCTAGCTGGCTAACGTTGACGCTACTTGGCATCTTTGCTCATGGGTTTCTCTCAAAAGTTAGCTTAGATGAAATAAGCTAAATATCAGTAAGTCTGTGATAAAGTCAATCTATCCCTGTAGTCTATCCGTGTGTTGCTTTATGCTCTGGCTTCAGTGAATGGGGAATCACAAATTACAATGTTTTCAAAAAAAAAAAAGCCGACATCTTATCTCTCATCCCATTCCCAATAGCGTGTATGTATTTAGACAACGTGCTCCTTAAAAGGGAATAGCGTAATACCATATAAGAGAGATACTGCTATACTGTACTATGTGGTACACACATTATTTGCAGTATATGCATTTTGTAACGACACATGCTGAAGCTGTGGGAAGCTGTGATCTTACAGGAGCGAGGTGGCATTTTGTGTTTAAACTTGCATGAATAGATTGAAGCAGGGGCCAGATCTCCCCCCCCCCCCGTCATCTTCTGGTGGCAGCCACATCAAATGATGAATCTGAACGTTTTCAGGAGGTACAACTGCTGAACTGAAAGGGAGAAGTGAGAACGTATTGTCTCATTTTGAAGAGGCCATTTATCTGTATTTTGTGATGGATCACTGCTATTCTATTAAGAATGCTTAAGACTCGAAAAAACAACTTAATTCCCACAGCATAGCAACAACGACAGGTGTTGTATCATGGTTTTCTTTTTGATGGTCATCATGTGAATGGTGGTGAGCAGGTTCATTGACCTAGAAACGCAGAGTAGTACTGTGCAGAGAAATTAGCTCTCAAAGCTCAGAAACCTACCCCGCTTGCCTGCCCAGGGTCTTTTTTTTTTTTTTTTTTTTTTTTTTCCCTCCCTCCATATGGGGAATAGTTTTAAATGGGCTGCAGTGGTCTTCAGACGGAATCCCAGGAATGTGAAACCTCAGAGAGGAAATGTGAGTCTTTCCCGATTATAGACACATCCTCTGTCTGTCCTTTGCAAAAGAGAAAGGATAAGGGAAAGTGTGTGTGTGGGGTGGGGTGGGGGTGGGGGAGGGGAGGGTAGGGTGTCTGGGGGAGAGAGAGAGACATATTCGGGTTCATATGGCTGTGAATGACAAACTGCTGCTCACACAGTGATGCTAAGTCTACGTTTAGACTTTTGCATTCATTTTATCTCTCTCTCTCTCTCTCTCTCTCTCTCTCTCTCTCTCTCTCTCTCTCTCTCAGACCATGTGCATTTAGACCGAACATTGCATTCCAGCTGAAGCCCAATTTACTCTGTCTGCTCTGCGGTCTCTTTTATTGTTTGCATGTTTTTTTTTTTTCCTCTGTCAAAGAGAATTAGAATTCGCTAAACCAAAAGCTTGGATCTAAGGACGTTAAGAGATTTAACTATTGTTGTGCTTCATAATTGTGTGTGTTTGGGGTTTGTGCTTGTGGAACAGTTTATTTGAAGAGCAATATGAATTATTGGCAAGAGGTGTTATTGTCGGCAAGCCCGCAGCATTAAGAATAAAAACAATGCACAGACGGATATGTTATACATGTTTTATTTTAAATCGAATTCAATAAAAAAGGTGGACTTTTATTTTTTACAAAAATAAAATACTGAATTATTGGTACTACTGAAGCTCAGCGCCAGTCTTTTTTTTTTTTTAATCTTGCTGTGTTTTTCACTATATAAAATTGGACCGCTCTGTTCTTGAAATATCTCCTCCACTAAAGTGAAGCTTTTCCTAGATATGAGTAAGCTGAATTTAAAGTGTGCCGCTGTTTTAGTTTGCCACCCTCAGTGGGATCCCCTCTCGTCAAGGCAGTGGATTAGAACTTGCGTAGGGTGGTCTCACACGCGCACGGCAGGATTCTGAATGAATTTATCCCCAGTTTAGTCATGCCACCCTCTAACTTCTCACAAAGGCCTTTTTTTTGGAGCTCCTCCTTGTGTCTGGAACATTTATCTGGGACAGCTGCTCTTTAATGCTTAAATTAATAAAAAAACATCCGAGCTTGAGTCTGCTTGTAGGCGGTGTGTCGTCGTGTCCCCACAGAGCTTTCTGCCAAGCTGGTAAAAGCAAGCAATGTTGAATTTTGAGAGCTGTTATTCCTAACACTGCAGGGAACTGACCATAGTTCCCCCTCTGTCTCCTGTGCAGTGAGAGTTGGTGTATGATTTACTGAATTCAAGCAGAAACGGGGTGTTTTCTCTTGCTTGCCTTCACTGGATAGAATCTGGAGTTTCTCAAAGTGAATGACATGAGGCGTACAAGGGGACGAATCCATCTCTCACCCCGTTTCAAATATGGCCTCTTGGCTGCACAAGCCTCCAGTTGGCGAGTAGCGAATGACTGGAAGAATCATCTCAGAATTCTTCCTGTTGAGTGCGGGACACACAGGAAAGCAAGGAAGCCCACATGTACATTTCTCATCTTCTCTCATGCTGTGTGTGTGTATTTCTCCCTTATTTTAACATTTTGGGAAGCTGGTCACGAGGTCAGTAAGCTGGTGATCAGGATACAGAGCGAGCGTCAGTCCCCGGCCCAGGGTTGGGGCAGAGTGCATTTCAGGGAAGTTATCAGGGACCAGGTACAGTTATCCGTGTCAGCGTAATGTTGTGTATTCCCAAAACAGAAGACAAACACACAATTTCACGCGCACATGCACACAGATACTCGTGTACACGGCTGATGTACTGTCAGCATGCGATGTCGAGCTAAATTCGGCCTGTCGGCTTCCGAGAATATAAGGATTGAATGATGCATATAGAGTGGACCACGGTGATGGTGAGAGTTTCCCCACACGGAGTTTTGGAACAATTGTTCACTATGGATAAACTTTGTTCACATTAAATAAAAAAAAATGTATGATGAGAGAAAATCTCAATTGATCAAGTAAAACAGCCTGACCTGAGAGGAAATGCAATACAATTATTCTGCTATACATATTCCTTTTGTATTTAAAATTGGTCTCACTGCTAGTCTCTGACTCACTTCTTCATCCTCCCCTCGAATGGATTAAGTTGGTCATATTATTTCTGCTGGCCTCCCTGTATGATTTTAATGAAAGCTGATTACTTCGATCGTCACATATAATCAACACTTTGTGACCTGCTGGTAGTGACGGGACTTGGACTATGCATGTGCTGCTGGTGTAATTTATTAGGGTTTTGACAGTTGAAATGTGGACCAGAGTTGGGGATTATGATTCATCCGCGCACAATGGCCGTGACTCATACTGTGACGTGTTGGAGGTGTTGCTCTCTTGTTTTATGTGTCCCTGGCACCAGCATAATTTAGGAACACGCAATGCCCAGAGTCCGGCAGAAAGTCCAGTTTGACCCAACTATGAGGCAATTAATAGGCACTGCTCAGAATTCCTTATTCCTGCAGAAATAGCCTCTAAAATACTGAGCTTTTCCTCAGGTTTATCCAGCCTACTGCTATTCGCCATACATTGAGAAATATGGAGGGAAAATCATTGCACTAAAGTATGACGTGTTCAAGCCAACATGCTAATTTCCATACTACTTACCTCTGGCTTTTGCGCTTTCTAGAAACAGAGACTTCCTCTTTAACTTGACTCCTTGTTGATTTCTGAACAAGCAGTGTAGCACAATGTGTTACTGCTCGTCTTTAGACATGTGTGAGGGAATAGATGTTTTCAACTTGGAGAGTGTGTGCGTGTTTATGCTATTCAGCTCAAACATTTTACATTTGATCAGCCAAGGCAAGAGAGCTGCCCAAATGGGGCTGCTGCTGTCGGCCCTTCTGTCGTCATCCCTCCTTCCATCAGCTCATCTCATGTTCATACTCTTTTCATTTATCATGGGCGCCGGTAGTATGGGGTAGGAAGTGGGAAAGGAGCCATTGGCCAACTCACTTTATGCCCCTGGTCCGATTTGGCGTTATTTCTGGTTTGATCCCATCACGAGATGGTCTCTAATTTTTAGAGATGCACCGATTGCACTTTTCTTTCATGCAAAATTGAAATTCAATTGTATTTTGAAAATGATTTGCAATATATACTACATGGTATTGTTTTCAGTGTGTCATCATGCCAACATGTGGCCCTAATGTGGACACCTACAGTAACTAACACAGAAGTGGTTAAGAGTACTTTACCAGCTGTCTGTGGACAGATTTTGTCACAGCGATCGCATCCCAGCGGCTCTTTATGGTCTGGTCTACTGGACTGTTGGTAATGAATGGGAAACGGTGCACTAATATGGGAAAATGAAAACTGTGGGTGTTATGCTTTTGAATCAAGCATCAAAAACTTTGCCTTAATTTGCTGACATCACACGTGATTATAAGCATGCGCACATGGGCGATGATGCTGACACAATATATTGTGCAGCCCTAGTGCACAAGGAAGAAGATCATAATAGGCTCCATTTAAATGTTAACACTGAGGGATGGTAGTCTGTGCTTAAACCCCTTGTCCTAGGCATCTAAACTGGTCTTAGTTTTTGGGATGCATGCCTCTGTGTAAACATGCATGAGAAATAAGGCTAGTTAATGACCGTTGTTTCATTTGCAGGGAATGACTCGTTGAGTCGTCTGACTGTGAATGATATGTTATCCTCCAGTGTAAATATTGGGTGGTATAGAAGATGCTTTTGTGTCTGAATGGCTGCTTGTTCCTGCCTCCAGCATTTGGGGTCATTGTGTTGTGGTTAGGTTTGGTAGTTTAGTACAGAGCTCCGTACCCAAACTTCCTCCCGCT